GTCAACTCCCCTTAAAACCCATCTAAAACCAACTTCCGTGCCGGTGAGCCCGTGATCCTTCCAAGCCAACCATGGCTGAATCAGTTGAACTAGTCCTGGCGCGTGAGCCGTAGGGTCCGCCCTGCCTTCTTGAAATGGGCCTGCTACTTTCAATAGAATTACCCTCTGGTAATTTAACATAGCTATTGACTATTGAAAATGGACCATTTATAGTTGATTTACCTCTTATAAATGGTGAGTTTCCAGTTTGCAAACTGTTCATTTACCAGGGAGCAATAGATCAACACATTTTCCCCAAACAGTGTGTCCACACTGAGGGGTTCTTACGGTAAGTGTAAAGGCCAGTGCTTGATCAGAGTGCTCACTCTGGGCTGCGGCATTTTCCTTGTAAATTTCCGTATCACCGTAACTCTTGCGAAATCTTGACATGCGTTTCGAGTCCGCAGGCTCGCACAAAGTCTGCGCCGCGGTTTTGGTCTGCGGCAAATATTATGAAAATTTCGTATCAAGTGGCTCTTGTGAAATCTTGACATGCGTTTCGACTGCGCAGGCTCGCGCAAAGTGTGTGTGTGTGTGTCCGCGTTCTGGGCCCAATCTGGGCCGCGGATTTTTTCCTCTAAATTTACGTCTAAAGTGGCTCTTATCGGATGTCTCCTGTGACATGCGGACATGAATTTCGGCTGCGCAGGCTCGCACAAAGTGTGTGTCCGCGTTCTGGGCCCAATCTGGGCCGCAGAATTTTTCCTGTGAATTTCTGTTTGAAGTGGCTCTTCTGACATGTCCAAGTGCATTTCGACCGCGCAGTCTCGCACAAAGTGTGGTCCTCGGTCTTGGGATCGGTCCTCCTCCTCATTATCATCATTTTCACTATCATCAGCTTCCCCCCCTTCACATCATCATCCTCAACACCATCATCCTCCACCTGGTCTTCCGCAACATCATCCTCCTCCACCTCGTCTTCCGCAACATTATTGTCCTTTTCATCATCCTCCAAAACATCACCATCCTCAACATCATGTTCTCCCCTCTTCTCAACATCATCATATATCATCATCATCCACCTTGTCCTCCTCCACTTCATCTTCCGCATTCAATTATCATCCTCATCATCATCCTCGTCAAAATCATCATCCTCATCCTCATCCTCCTCAACATCGTCATTATCCACATTATCCTCCTGCACCTCAGCATCCTCAACATCATCATCCTCAACATCATTGTCCGCATCGTCATCATCATCATCATCATGATCATGATCACCATCACCATCACCATCACCATCCTCATCATCATCACTCATTACCATCCTCATCATCATCCTTCCCAGCATCATCATCCTCCACCTTTGCATCCTTCGCTTCCTCTTCCGCATTGTCATCCTCTTCCTAACCCTCCTCAACAACATTCTCAACATCATCATCTTCAACACCTCATCATCATCAACATCATTGTCATCAACATGATGGTCCGCAACATCATCATCCTCTACATCATCGTTCCCCGCATTATCATCCTCATCATCATAATCATCATCAACATTATAATACTTTATCCTCCTACTCTCCCCACAAGTGTTAAGGCCCGGTGTTCAATCGAGGTGGTATCGGAAGCCTCCGGCATTTTCCGTGTAAATTTCCGAAAATATGCTTCTTATCGACTGCGCAGGCTCGCGCAAAACTCTGGTCGCGGGATACGCGGCGTACGGCATATTCCCTGCGAATTTCCGCACAAAATGCCTCTTGTGACATGTCCATATCCATTTCGTCTGCGCAGGATGGCACGACATGGGTGTCGCGGCACGGGGGTCCTGCATTTTCCCGTCTATACTGGCTCTTGTGATATGTCCTTGTGTCTTTCGACTGCCAAGAGACATGTTTTAGGGAGCTTGCGCAGAGGTCTTGCCAAGAAACCTCTGATGGAGATCTTGTTTGGAAATCTTTCCAAGAGACCTCTTGAAGAGATCTGTGCAGAGAGAGCTCGTATAGAGATCTTGTACAGAGATCTTGCCACCTCTGTGGCAGATCTTGTACAGAGACCTGGTGAAGAGAACAGAGGTCTTGCTCAAAGATCTTCTCTGGAGAGCTTGACTAGAGATCTTGCTTTGAGATTCCTCACAGAGATCTCATTTCGACTGCGCAGGCTCGCACAAAACATTGTCCCGGGAGGTGTCCTCGGCCATTTTCCCTGTAAATGTTCACACAAAATGGCTCTTGTGAAATGTCCGTGTGCATTCCGACTGCGCAAGATCACACAACATCATCATCATCATCATCATCACCATGATCATCACCACCATCATCGTCATTATCACCATCATCATCATCAACATCATCATCATCATCACCATCATCATCACCACCACCATGATCATCATCACCATCATCATCACCATCACCATCATCATCATCATCATCATCATGATCACCATCACCATCATCATCATCATCATCACCATCATCACCATCACCATCTTCATCATCACCATGATCACCATCATCAACATCATCAACATCACCATCAACATCAACATAATCATCCACATTAGCATCATCATCAACATTAACATCCTCATCGATATTATAATACATTATCCTTTTACTCCCCCCGCACTGTTTTGGGTCTCTTGCCGGGATATTTTTCTTTAAGTAGTAGCATGGGGGGCTCCCCCACAACTCACCTGCATTCATCCACTTTAATCTCCAAGTACCTGGCGTTTTCTGATGCTTCTACCTCTTCAAGGTCCCGTTTTTACCATTTTTGACCTTCAACCGAGGTCAGAAACCGTTGTCCTAAACTGAAGGGTTCAAGCAATGAGGATGGAGAGTATCCGAAAATTGCCTGAACATACCCAATTTCAACCCACTTTGTGGTTTCAATCACAGACAAAAACAACACCCTGGCGTCTCTAATCTGGGAATATTCAAAAGCATAGGTGGCATAGAAATCTATATATATATATATGGGGTGATGATGCGTCATGTTTGCGTTACCGGACTCGTTAACTGTCTCGCAATTTGTGTTACCTTGATGTACCTGTCGTGGGGAGGGTGGAGGGGGGCAGGTGGAGGGCTGGGCCAATAACAGTCGGTCTCTTCCATGCTACATGTGAAGGTGCGCACACACACACACACTGCTGAATTGATGCTACGCTGGCACTTGCGTACAATATGTGCATGGAAGGAGGCCGGTCTGTGTTCACACTGGATCACAGGATGCTTACCCAACTCTGATGAAATCTTCTGTGCCAAATTCCTTTTGAACTCGCTAAAAGCTTCGATTCGATGATTTCGCAGAACAAACAAGCCATGATTGATTCTGTATGTCAGTCTCGACACACCAAGAAGCAAATTTATGACAGTCATGCGACGGCACGCCACATATTTATGGCGAACATCTTGAAAAGGATCACCATCTTATTAGGTCGCAGCCCAATAAATTTGTGTTTAAAAAATGGTTGAATATTAATTTTATCAACACAGGTAATTCAAAAAAATGTTGTTTGCTTCGAATGAAGTTTGCCACAACCTATTGGCACTCAATATCCTCATGGCTGGGGATCATGCCACCACATCCCGTGCCGTCAATTCTGTTCTCAGTCCTTTTCCCTGTTTATACCAGTGTTCTGACTCGATGCATCACTCAATAAAGACAGATGCAGTACATCGACAACCATAGACATGACATATATGATCATAAATTTATATATATATATATATTCCTAGGCGTCGAATATTTAGTTTAACAGTTTAACTTCGTATTTATTTTATACTCCGTAACTTTTACAGGGTCAAACTTTGTATGAAATACGAAGTTTTGCTGCCTGGATCCAGTTCTGACTTTGATGATGCCAAGGCATGCACCAACTGCAAATCCATGCTGTTGGGGGTAGCTGTGAAAACCATGAAAACCTTATAAACATCGAAAAGTCATAACCTCAAAAACATGGAATCATGGCAAATACTAAGTGAAACTTTGACGTCGGACTCTTATGGTATTCCAAATTCATATATTAAAATATAACTTTAGAATACCTCAGATAGATAGGTTAGTCCAGATTAGATAAGAAGAAAACTCAATTAGATCTAGAAAGATTTGATTGGTAGTTAGATCGATACATCGATAGATCGATAAACAATGATAAATCGATAAACCGATGTCGGTAGATCGATAAATCAAATCGATGATCGATCGATATCGATAGATCGATCGATCGATAGATAGATCGATAGATCTATAGATAGGTATACTATTGTACAATATTACAGTACAGTGTCTCAGTACAGGTAGGTAAACTATGACAAACTACGACAAAATAGGTTAATTGCAGCAACACGGTGTTTTGCCACACAACCTGGCTGCTTTCAGTTTGGCTCGATTTTCCCAGTTTGCCACTCCGGGTTTTTGAGGCCTAGCATCGGCAAGGCCAGCGGGAGTAGGACGCAGGGCCTGTGTCGCTTTGACCAGAAATTGAAGACGGGCCCTGAAGTTATGCCCATCAAACTCTTCAAATGACAAGGAAACTGAAATGGGGTTGCGGAATTGGGGGGGAGCCCATGCAGGTTTCAATACCAAAATGGACTCATTTTGGATGATTCCGGGGTACCACCATTTTTAGGAAACTTCCAAATGGTCATCAGCGTTCATAATGTGGAGTTTGGGTCACCCCAGCAAACCAAATTTAGTGTCCTCAAAATATGTCGAACGTGGGGCTGAGTAGCAAATCAAGGTTCACCTATAGGTCCAAACCAACGAACAACAGCATCAACAGCTAGTGACAGCTAGTGGTCGCAGAGCATATATTTTCCAACAACAGTAAGATGAGGCTTGACAGCGACGGTGTCAGTCGTGACGAAAGAACGTGCTGCTGCCCGCCGAAAGGGACAAGGGGCAAAGGGAAGGCCCTTTGGACCTGCCAATCCTTCGACAGCGGTTTGCCGTGCAAAGGGCAAGTCCTTGGGACCTGCCAATGCTTCGACAACGGCTTGCCGGTGCCTTCACATTCAGCTGAGAATGGAAAGCAAGGAGCCTGCCAGCAAGTTCAGCTGCAGCAATCCATCCGCGCCACTACTCTGCTCGGCAGGACAAGTCGGCGACGTGAAGCTGTAGGTTGTGGCATAGGAGGTTGGCTTCCCGGCCGTTGCACACTGGGACTGCAGGGTGCGAAATACGGAGAAATCGCTGAACGATGCCACGGCTGATGAGCATGCCGAGTTGGAATCCAAACACTCGAGAGTGGACGACATGGGGCAGAAAGCATTCAGTTCGGAATCCAGCTGTTCCGCCGTTGGAGGCCGCCTGACATCTGCGAGCCTAGGGCGAGCAGGGTTTCCATGCTGTCGTAGATCTTGGGAAATTGTGGGCAAGCATCGCAAACGCAAGGCGCAAGAGCCAGGAAGCCTCCAGGCAGTGTAGGGCCATAGATCGGTGGAAATTCAATGAAATTCAGCAACACCCTTTTTGCCCGCTTTCATGTTGAGCTTCAAATGGATGATCAAAGACTATTACTGCGGACATATTTTTTCAAATATATATATATATAATTATTTGTGTATAATATGCATACACAAACTAAATCAAAGGTGTACTGTGGTTAAATGTTAATAAAACAATGATAAACCATCCTCCACTCATCACCATTTTTATGTGGTAATCAAAAACAATTCCCAGTCATGGGGTTCGTTTATGACAGTGTTTTATCAACATTACCTATCATAAATCCAAAACTCCATCAGTGAATGCATCGAATACTATCATAAATCCATCAGGTATTATCATACATCACACAGATACTATCCTTCTATCATGGATATTTCAATATATTTTATGGTATCATAGACCATGTTACCGAGGCAAAAACCTATGCCGAGGCACTGGACTGGAAAGCCACGTTGCCACATTCCGTGGAGCTCGCGGCGCAGGTGATGGCTGTCCTATGGAGGCAGCCACTGCCCAGCAAGTCGCCAAAGGCGCTAAGGGCGGCCAGGGGGTCACCTGCCGGAATGCGGCGGGGGAAGATTCACCTGGAAGATGAAAAAATAACGCAAAAAAAAATAAGAAAAAAATACTCATAAGAATAGTAATAATAATCATCATACTAACAATTGACAGTTGTTCCAAGATTTCCAAGACAAGTTATATGGAATCACATTTTCTAAGTCACTGCCAAATCATGCCGAACAGACCAGGTGACACTAGAACTATTCCACATAAATTGCTGAAACGTGCTTTAACTAGTATAGTTGTACCTCACTTTTTTCAGTGCTGCCAATAAAGTCGAAGGAACTAGGCGCCGTGTTGCCCTGGAAAACAAGGAACAACAAACCGCAGAAAGTGATCATAGCTTGGCTCCCACATGTTCCGACATCTTCTCGAAATGACATGGTCATGTCATGTCACTTCCAGCATTCATCCGATTGATGATCGCTTGTGAGTCATCGTAGGCGCATTGGATTCCGTCGCATGCTGCTGGGCATCCCTCAGGCATCGGGGCAAGCGTCAAGGTTTGTTGCAAGCGGCGCATCTTCGCGGCGTGGCCGGCCAGTGAGCCCAAGGTCTGATTCAGCTGACCTCACTTTAGCAATGGAAAAAGCGGAAGGCTGGGAAGGTACAGTAACATTTTTGCAATGTTATGAAAAGCTTGCAGCCTCTACCTGAGGGAAGTTATTATACATGTTGTTTTATGTTGTTTTCAAATGCTTTCCATGTTCATTTACATCTTCTTTCATAAAATGATGTTTTCTTTAAACGGACTTTCACTTAGATTTTCATTCGGATTTTCCTGTGGCTTGGCTTAATGGCATGTATCTTGTTCATTAGCAATGCTTGCTTTGCTTCTCAGCCAAATGTCTTGGAAAAATGGTGCGGTACTTTGCAAAAGAAACAATTTGAATGTAACTGTAAACACAAATAGGAAACAAACACAAGACAGCATAACGCGACACTAGGACACACAATGAACAGGAAACACAAACCCAGAAACCAAATGAACAACGGACTTGTTTGACAGCATGAACATATTAAAAAAAGTTGAAAACCCAAAAACAAGTTGACAAAAACATGAAAATGGCTGACGACATGAACTTGTAAATGCAGAAACACACAAAATCCAAGTGAAAAAGAACATGAACATAACAGTGAAAAACATGAAGACCGAAATCCGCATGAAAAAAACCTTGTGCCCAGCCTTTGGACTAGGGACTGGTTCAAGTTAGCTGGGACGGTTTGATTGTATAACAACAGTTTTGCCCAGCAAATCCATGATTACAGATATGATATTGCATGATATTGCTGCATGTTTACAGTAGCTGTCAACTAGTCTTTTCTTGGGATGACAACAGTCGATACCAAAAATATCGACATTATTGCGACTGACACAGGCAAAAAATAAAATTAACAGGGTCCCAACCTCTTGCCCATCCAACAGCAGAACCTGTTGAGATCCTGATCACAAGGCCTCCCCAGAAAATAGAATCCGTGGGTCCAACCCACCATAAACACCTCAAACAGCACTATTTCCCAGAAATATTCCGGGCTCAAGCCCCAAGATTTTATTTTGGAGCACTCCACGGGGTTTTGATTTCCAGTTTAAGACTGCCCAAAAAAAATGTAATTGTAACGTGTCCAACAAGTTGTTCTGCGGGTGTCATGACAGATGTAGAATTAAGATGAATTAAGTGATTGCGATGTAATTACGTGTTTCTGACTCGTATGTTCAGAATGTTCCAAGTTCCCATGTGATCTGCATGTTCCACTTTCTCCAGTATTTTCCAAGCCACGTGCATAAGCCAAGAGCTTCTGAATCTCCTGGGACTCTGCTTCAGCTCCGAAGAAGACAGCACCAAGGAGCAGCGACGACTTCATCATGACTCACAGATCGAGGCCGAGCGAGGTGAATCGCTGTTTCAGATCGCTTCGGATCGCTTGAGCAGGCTGGTGCCACCAAACCGTCCCACAAGAAACATGACAAAGAGAAGTTGCTGTGCTGCCGGGCGCAATATGCTGGGGATAGACCAATGCCAAGAGGCACAGCATCAATATCAGAAACTGCTTCTGGAGTTCCAGAATGCTACGATGCACGACTAAAGAGAGGAAAGAACGCTACGGAAATCCTGGTGATCTAACTGGAAAATACATCAAACACATTCAAACACCACCCATTCAGAAATGATGGAACTCGAAGCACGGCCATTTTCAACAACGAAATTGGTCGAAGCCACAGGGCAAAGCGCATGGCTAGGTTGAGGCGATCCCTTCTCCCAAATCCACCCTGTACAGGCTGTTGCCTCTAGCATGGACCCACAAGATCCTTTACACATCCCGCAAAATTGGAGAGATGTCCACTAAAAACAGGGATTAACCAGCCATTCAATGGCCCTATGATGATCTTTTTTCATTGTAACTAAGGAAGCAAGTTCTGAAATACTCCCACCACGAGGTTGTCACTGCTAGAACAGCCGCTAGGCGACTTGAAGCTGTAGGGTGTGGCATAGTCCGTGGGCTTATTGGCTTTGACACATTGGAGTTTCAGGCTCGACACAGCCTCCAAGGTCTTCCCGATGCTAACGCCCTCCAAATTCTCGAAGGCTGAGGAACACACAGAGTTTTCCTCGAAAAAACAAGACAAAAGTTGGGAGTTGGTCATTTTAATTAAGTCTTGGGTTAATAATGTTCAAGGTATTTACCAAAGATAACCTGGGGCAATTGAACGCTATGGGAAATGGTCCATGTATAAGTCATTTGACATGATTTCAAAGCTATGTTCGTCCTAAATGACCTTCCGAAATATCTCCCAAAAACGTTATTTGGTCAAGGTTCGGCCACGCACGCGAGAACGGAGGACATGGGGCACAGAGCCGTCAAAAGTTCATCCCTCTCTTCCGCAGTGGGTGTGACGTCACCCTCGGAGCCGGCGGTCATGAGGGGCGTCCAGCCTTCATAGACTTTGGGAAAGTTGGGACACTCATCGCAGATGCACGACATCAGATTCTCAGAACCTTCAGGGAGCATCAAAATCACCGAGTGCTTAGATTGCTTAGCGATGAGGTCATTCTGGACTTAGCCAGTAGCATTGCGGTCACAACCATCCTTTTTTCTGTATCTGAAACAAGTCCTGATTTGATGCTGATATAGAATGCTATATTTAATATCAAAGTGTGATAAAATGATATAACATGTACATTTGCACTACATTCACTACATGACTGCTTGGCGATTTCAATCCCAGATCAAGGAGTACCATCTGTTGAATGGCTCAGCATGTTCCCCAAGAAAACATCCCCATAGATTGCCCATAATTCCATATAATTCCCTTCAACAAACTTGAAAACATCACCATAATTCACCATGTATTCCTCATATCCCCGAATATACCCCATATATTTGGTTCCCTACCGGAGCCAACGTCCAGCAAGCCATTGCAGTCTGCGCTGTCCGTGCCACACTTGATGGCGTCTCGATGGAGACATGTGGCACCAAGGCTATCCGCTAATGCGCTGATCATCGCTGCCTGGTCACCTGAGAATAAGCCATAAAAATATGGGCTAAAATAGGGGGAAGTTGATGGCGGTTGTCTTCCACCCCCTATTTTGATCTATTTTGCAATGTCTGTGCTAGTTTGGGGGAATTTGGGGGATGGTGCCCCAACAAAAACATTCATTCCAGGTCATTCGATGTAATTGTTTTCATTTGCCATACAGAAACGTAACTCACACGGCCCGGATCAAATCCCTGATTGCGGATCACCCGGCACCAGGTCCCCATAGGACCGCTAGTCCCAGCCCAGCTTTTCTAGGGATAGGAATCCAAGGGATTTCTTGGAATGAATTCAAAGGTTTGTTTTGGAATTGTTGGTTGCTAGCTTATCAAAAGGTGTCTATGAAAAGTTTGGTTTAATCCCTTCATCCTCAGCTTTGCAGATCTTGCTGTTGCTCCCTCAGCGTCTGTGATTTCTGGTTTCTCTCCCATCTGAAGGTTCCTGTTCTCCCAGCAATCCACTGAGGTGTTGCATCACTTTCCTGGTTCATGCCTTGCATTTGTTCAACCCAAGCCTTAATGCCAAAGCCTGCCCTGCCAAAACAAAAATATGCAGAAAAAACGTCACTTTTACGTTTGCATTTGCCGTATTTGTTGAAGTGATGTCGACAGACAAAAATATTATCTAGTCACCATGATTGAAACACACATCAGGCAAACTTAGAGTCTTTCATGAATCCATCAATTTTATCTAGGAGGAAAACAATGTTGTAATACATATATATATATCTATATTATCATTGTGTCGTCCTTGCAGTGGTGCGAAAAGAGGCTAGAACACCAGTTCATCGTTTCATCAAAACACATTGAACACATGTATTTGGCATGTTGTTTTCTCTAATAATATGTTTGAACATCAGCATCCCAATATCAAGGTACTCACTTTGAATTGTATACTGCCTTCTGTATCCTAATCTGCTTGTCTCCGGTTTCAAAACTATTATTCAAGGGTCAAACAACTACGTGCCCTACATTCAAGAACTTACCTGGAACCTTGCATCCAGATTCAGGGTTTTGTGAAACATGTTTGAAGACATGTTGTTTATGGTGAATCTTGAACCCGGCCAACATTGCACTTTGATGCTTAACTGAATTCAAATATGGTGGTTTCAAGATAATAGATATATGATTCAGTGACTAAACACATGAGTAGAACGCACCTTGATTCTGATGGTCTGATAAAAGACACGGAACGCTGTAAATACATCTTAAAATGTTAAGACAAAACCTTGCGAGTACTCTCTCTCTCTCTCTATGTTTCTCTCTCTTTATCAACCTGTATATATATATATTATAATATGTATAAACATACTGTTTGCAAATATTATAATGTATGTGTATATATATATTATGTACAACAAAGTACACACCATAAATATATATATATATTACTATGTGTATGTATATATATATATATATGCATATGCTTGCATACCATGTATATCTATACGTATATTGTATATGTATACAGTATACATGATGTAAATTTAGTATAGGTTATGTCTCACATTGTGTCACATAACATTTGCACAACTTATCAAAAACATGAATATATATATATATATTTATATCATTCAAGGCAAGCTAGTAATATTATGTGCATATATCATTTGCGGGGAAAGACACATAGTACACTCCACGTTTTTTCGACGGAGCGTTCAACTACTTTGTTTTCCAGTCCCGACCTTCGTAAAATCTGTCACTCATATGTTATGTGTATTGGATAATACATGTGTACTTGTTACAGTACAGATTCATCGAATTGTATCACATGTTCTACATGTCATGTTTTTATTTTATGCTATGTTAGGTTGTGCTATTTGTCTCATGTTTTGTCCATGTCATATCATGCTATATCTATACTATATGAACCTATATGATAACTGTATTCTATCATTGTACATAAAATAAATATAAACGTAAGGAGCAGGTAAGGAACCCAGTCCGCCAGAAACGAAGACGGAACAAAGGAAAAAACAAATTCAAAGCTGCAGTTCGACACACATCTGTTATTAAATATATTCAACATACTTATGCAATGTCTGCGCTAGCGCGAACAAGTCACCCCCAGTGAGTTTCTTCGTCAAAGCGCCCAAATCATCATAGGCGCATTGCATTCCCGGGCACGCCGCTGCGCATCGCAATGGCAGTGGGGGCATCGTGAAGGTTTGCGGCTTCAGGCGCTTCTGGCCCGAACGAGAGCCGAACGTCTGATTCAGCTGACCTTGCCGAATGAGAAATAAAAAAGGGCACATTTTTTTTAGCAACTCTATTGGTACATCATGGTGCACTCATAGCGGAACTCCACAATTGCATACAATTGCCATATGTTCATCATGGTCCAAGTTGCAAACAAGCACTGTCCTCCTGCCAAGTGACGCGCAAAAGCCAAGATCTTGTGAAAGTCCTGGGACTCTGCTTCCGCTCCAAAGAAGACAGCACCAAGGATCAGCAACGACTTCATCATGCTGAGTCACAGATCCTGATCGTGATCGCGTTCGCTTCAGATCGTCTCGGATCGAGAAATCGCTGTGCGGTGTGACAAAAGCTTTCCACAACCAACATGACAAGCAACTGCTTGAAAGCAGTGCCTATGGGAAGAATATGGGATGGATGCCAAGACATAAGAGCACAATGAAAAACTTGGAGAAGACTGTCACACCTCTGCTGATGCCACATGGAAAGTGAGTTCTTCTCCAGGATTCTTCTTAGGGATTTCCACAGTTTGTTGGTGGATTGCCCATAGTTGTCCATATTTGCTGAAATTCAGAACACGAGCAGTTTCCCAGTTTTCCAATATGCATTATAATTAGCCTTTTCTTGTGCCCATTGTTGGTGCTAGAACCATTGTTTGGCTGTTTCCGAGAATAAGGCTATACCCCCAAACCATTGCTTCCCCTACTTCATAAATGACGAATAGTTCCCAGAGAGATTTATCCGTTATATCCCATAGGCCCATATGACGGTTTGTTCCCGGTTTTGTTGATAAATCGCAATTCCATGCGTGCCGCCTCATGTTTGCCTTTAAAAAACATGACCTACCTTGATGACGTGAAAACGTGGAAATTCTTCGTTACCTTTGGAAATCGTTCTAAAACCACAGGAATCGGCTAACGCACGTCGGTTTTCATTCGCTGTCGCTGGTACTATCTCCTGAACTGTGTGTCTCTGTGTGTCTGCCTCTCTGAATGCAATATGCTTCTTGACATGCCTCCTGATCAACGCTGTTTCCTTACTGTAAGCTACCAAAGCGTGAACATGGCTGTGCCTCTGAATGGGCTGCGGGTGGACCGGGGCATGTATTTGCAATTTTCGCTAGCGCGTTGCTAGCGGCGATCTAGCGCGTAAAATACGTAAAAAAATCGAAAATTTGGGAATATGTGGAAACTGACAGACTTGTAAGAAAAGCTGGCAAGACATTCACGACATGGAGGCCATGGCTGTCAATCAAACCTAGCGCAAACCTAGCGGGTTTGCTAGCGCTGCCTTGCAGAATTGCTGAATTTAGTTGCGTGCCGCCTCATAACGAAGAGGGAAAAACAGTAGACCCAGATGAATTATCAACAACCAATACTAAACTTCTAAACAACTATTTTTGACAAATGGTCATATGATATCCCACATGATATCTCATTGTTTTCCCATTATATTCTATTACATTCCCACTAATATCCCTATTATCCCAAAAAAAGCAATCCGCATTCTTCTGGATGCAATGGGATATGTTCCCATATATTTCCAGGTATGTCCACATATTCCCATATTCAAAACACTGGTACTCTTCCCAAAGAAAGCTGGCTCATAGATGTTTATTCCACCACATATGCTAGGAAGAGGTTTTGACCTATCCCCATATGATATTACATGATATTACCATCTACCCTCTGAAAAAACTAACAGTTTGCTATTGAAAATGGCCATAGAAATAGTTGATTTACCCATTAATAGCATGGTGATTTTCCATAGGTCCCCGAGAAGGACCTGGGTGTGGTTCCCGCTCGACCCGCAAACTCGCCCCAGGTGGCCACGCAGCACACCTCATGTTTTTTCGAGGAAGAAGGAGTAAAAAATGGTGGAAATAGATTAGCCATAGGGGGATTATATGGGATTATTTAGTAAGATTATCATTGATATCTAAAAGTTAATATGATCGTGGGATCATACTCATATTCCATTGTATTCCCACTTAGTTTAGACCATTCACACTTTTTCAAGTGGGGATGACGGGGATGATCATGGATTATACTTGATTGATTATCTTTTACCAAAAAGAATGGCGATTGAAGCTGCAAAATTCTACGGAAAATGCTTGGATGTTTGAGCTTTGCAACATCCAAATGCTGGAGATGGACTATTGAAATCATTGGAAATCTATGGTCAAAGGCCAGTGGTCTTTGCATGGAGACTGTGACTATCTGTGGCTGCTACGAGTTCAATTTTCATTTCAACTGCGGGAAGTCTGGTTTCTGAGTGGTGAAAACTCAAAGAAAACCTTGATTGCATAAACAACATTAAACAACATCATCATGCCGCCAGGACCATCGATGCAGTCCTGCCGGCATATCCCAAAATTGCAGAGTTTGGCGGTGAGGAAAATATCGGACAACAATGATCAACCTCGGGATATTGGAGTAGCCAATTGTCAGACAAACCCGTACGAGTATCATGGATAAGAACCAGCGAGCCACAAAAAAGGATGATTCAGGAAAAATCAGGAAAGGGACATGTTGTGGCAATTCCCTTCCTTTCTGGCCGAAATCATCACAGTGTGTTTTGGAACTGGAACCTACTGTTTGTTGTTCTGTTGCAGAAGAAACCCACGTCAAGATACAATACACTGCCGCAACTTATTGTTTAGATTCACCAAGTAAAAGCAAATCTGTGTGGTTTTCTCCTGATGTTTTGTCAATACCCCTTTATATAATTATTTCAGCTCACGGTAACATCTTAGAACGAAAGAATACACCATGAACTTTTTTCTTTTCCAGCTGATTTCCCTGGGCGAAATGCCAAGCTGCACTGGAAATCAGAAGTTGAAGCACCAATAGACTAGCGGCCTGGTGCCCATAGGATCCACAGCGTTGGGGCTGACCAACAAGGGGCCCAACATGTGGGTCTGAACGCCAAGGAGTGTAAATTAATACTAGCACCAAGAATCAATGTTGTCTGTCATATAAGCCGCAGAAGATATTCGGTACATAACGCAATTGACAGTTATTGACGGGGTGTTCCTACCTCTTTCTCCAGTCCAGTAGCACTTTTGGGGGCCTGACCTCGTTTTCCAACACCGCACTTCTTTTCAATAGCTAAATGCTTTACATGCGATGCCTACCTCGTTCTCGGGGTGTTCCTACCTCGTCTCACAACCTAGTTATGATGTCTTTGACAAACCGGGGTTTTCCCCAATACTACTCTCCATTTAACCAAATAAAGGCCGTTACTCATATTGTATGTTATTGTCATGAGTTGTCACGTGTTGTCATGTCATGTGTTGTCATGTGTCGTCATATGTAGTTATGTTGCGTTGTCATCGTGTATGTGATATACATTGTCCGCGGGGGACGGCATTGATATGCGCAACATTGCGGTGCCCATTCACCGTGCCCACAACTGGGCAACCTCAGGATGAAACACAAAATTCAGTTGAAACTGCAACCTAATATGATCTGCAGATATTATATATATATAATGAATTGTTCTCAATCCGCCATTAACGCGTGTCCTCCCGAAACGTACCTTCCCATTTTCATATTCAAACCAGATTTGAATATGTCTGGAATAAAATTTATCTACGTAAGTTTTTTATAAAAACCTGTTCATTGTAAACCATTTATTACTGTCTCTTCATTCAATCTATACATTTGCACCAGACGTGCTCCCAGGTCATTCCCATGTCACGATAATCTCCCAACCCCCTGGTGTCGAACATGTCAGCCAAATCACCAAAACATGGAACTGCCAGCCCTTCAAAAACATCTTGAGAGGTATGTCCTATGATGTCCTATGATGTCCTATATATGTATTTCCTTAAGAAAATCATGTGGGCCATATGTGTGCTGGGCCCGGCAAATTTTCTCCGATTTATCCCCGTCCCTCGCTGCCCGCGGCTTGGCACCAGCAAAATCCAGGAATTGAATCCATCAGCCTTCCAGAGACCTCAGCGGATCTCAGGTTTCGACAGGATGTTTCTGGACGCCGGAAATCCAGCGTTTGGATGTATAATGATGTATATGTGGTGTATGGGTCTATCTGAAAATGTTGTTTTATAACCTCCCACATTTCTTGGTTTGTCAGTATACATTTCATTATCCCCCTCAAAGTGAAACATGGAAGTATCTGCAGATATTTTGATTTTATTTGAAGTAAAAAACCTATGTCTACCTTCAAACAGACCCATCTGTTTCTGCTGATTATCGTGTGGCCCAAGCACCCGACCAAATCTGAAGAGAACTACCAGCCTCGGAGAAGCCAATGATCCATCTCAGCTTTCAAAGTAATGTAAAAAAATGTGTGTATTTGCAAAAATGAGTATACTATGACATAGTAGAGTATATCAAACACACACATATGCACCAACGTAATCGAAGGAAGTTTAGAAGTCAAACTTCCGACAATATGGACAGATGAAAAGCAGAGATGGGAAGAGTCAGAGAAGAGACGAGAAGAGAAGAAGAAAGAAACTCAAAAAGAGAAAGTGTCAGAAGAAAGAAGGTCCAGGTGCGCGAAAAAGTAGGAAAGTCGCGCAGCACTGTGTTTTTCCAATGATTTGGGGCTCCGGAGGGTCGAAAAGTAGGCTCGCTAAAGCGGCGGGTGCGGAGCCAGCTGGCCAGATGAGCGATGAAAAATTGCACGTCGTGGCCCGAAGCACATTTCGAAGTCAAAATGTACAAAGCATGTCAGCTCCGGACCACTTTTGGAAGTTGTGATGTCGAAAAAGTGCACGTTGTTGTGGCCCGAAGCACATTTCCAAGTCAAAATGTACAAAACATGTCAGCTCCGGACCACTTTTGGAAGTTGTGATGTCGAAAACATGCACGCCGTTGTGGCGCGAAGCACATTTCGAAGTCAACATGTTAAAAGCACCACGTGTTGGGACCACTTTTGGAAATTGAGATGTCGAAAAAGTGCACGCCGTTGTGGCGCGAAGCACATTTCGAAGTCAACACGTTAAAAGCACCACATGTTGGGACCACTTTTGGAAATTGAGATGTCGAAAAAGTGCACGCCGTTGTGGCGCGAAGCACATTTCGAAGTCAACATGTTAAAAGCACCACGTGTTGGGACCACTTTTGGAAATTGAGATGTCGAAAAAGTGCACGCCGTTGTGGCGCGAAGCACGTTTCGAAGTCAAAAGTGTAAAAAAACTGACGGGCTCGGAGCACTTTGGGACGTTCAGATGTCGTTTCGCGTGGCAGGCGCAAGGGATTGTGCACCTTGTCAAAAGTGAGCAAAACGTGAGGGTTTTGT